CACAATTCTAATGTTGATCAAAGCATTCCAGCAAGAGTTCTTCTTGGCAAGTTGGTGGTAGAAACACACGGGGCTTCATTTTAGGGGACTTTGTTTGAGTAGCGGGACTGGGGTGAAAACCCTAGGTCTGACCTCCATTGGTTGTATCTGGTAGTTTGAGTCTAAGCTCCGTTAGTGAAGGCATTGTCTGGATTCTGCTCGGATGTTCTCCCCCAGGGGAAAACCACAACAATCTATCCTATATGGTTGAATCCGGTGGCGAACGTGTTCAGCTTTTCCCAATGGCGTCGTTGTGGGGAAACTTTCTCATAGTCTTGGTGTTGCGAATGGCGGTGGTAGATGTTAATGTTTTACTACATCGGGTTGTTCGCCTCCTCGCCTTGACCTCTCGAGAGGACCTTTTAAAAAATTATTTAGTTATGTGCATCGTCGATGTCTTGACTAGCTCTTGATGTCATATTTGTGTCGAGACTAGGTGTAATTGGTATCAACTCTATATTAATATATTATCCTTTATCAAAAACTAGTGACACATTTTAGATTATTAACTGCATGTAGAATAAGACGTCTTATATTACTGGGCGGAGGGGGTACTTTACTTAGATTCCGCTGTGATTTTGGCATGTTGCGGTGGATACTCAGAAATATATACTTATTTGGTTTTCTCATTTCTCATGTAATCCCCGATCGGTCAAAAAACCATTTAATCAGATGTAGCAACTTTAACTTTACTTAAATATGTAAAACAACTCATAGCTAGGGCTGCAAGAAAAGCTCGAGGCTCGTGAGCCGCTCGAGATCGACTCGTTTTTTGGCTCGACTCGTGATCGACTCGAAAGAAATGAGTTGAGTTTGAACACTTCATGTAGCTCGACCGAGAAATGTGTCGATCTTGAGCCAATACTGACTCGCTTGAGTTTAGCTTGATAGCTCGACATAATACCATTATGTTAAATGATGACGCCATATATTAAATGAAAATAAGATAATTTGTTACTACCATATATAAGTGCGTGATTTTTCTCCATTTTATTTACCAGCAAACATGGAAGCTTAATTAAGTGTAGAGAAGATTTAGGTTTAATTATGGTACGTGGTCGACTATGTCTTAAATTTCCTGTTGTTTTGGACAAAAATTTCTGAGCATATGCACCTTTGTTTTCTTGTTGTTTGTCCACAAAGACCAACATCTATTGCTAGTTCGCCCAAGAGACCAAGATGAGCTCTTGTCCTACAAAGTTGTGTCGTGTTGTGTCCTTATCTAGTTGGAATAATCACCATAGACTTATAATTTTTACCGTCTCATTTAGCTCGAAACTAGCTCGAGATCGACTCGAAATCGTTACAAGCTGAGCCCGAGTCATGTTTTAGAGCTCGATCTTGAGTTTCACTCAGTTTGAGCTCGCTCGAATTTCAATATGAGTTGAGCTGGGTCAACTCCAACTCGCTCGAACTCGACTCGTTTGCAGCCCTACCAATAGCTAACAAGGTACCGTAACTCAGCACATCACATTTCAGCAACAAAAAATTGATCCCTGGAACATATGGATTTTTTATATTAAAAAAAGCAGGAAAACTCTTTGAAATGCATGCAGTAAGAGGAAATGGACAAGATTGAGAGAGAGAACTCTAGCTAATGAACTCAGCCCGTAGTGGTGAACTCTAGGGAATTAATCTTGCATGCACACTAGTAGATATAGCTAACCTTGAATTGCGAGTACAAAAATATACCCATGCATGCGTACGTGCGAGCAAGAAAATAAAAAGACAGACTAATTATTTATTCACTCGATCGCCATATATATATATATATATGTACGTACAATTGTATAAGGTAAGGTACGTAGCGACTTCTCTTTTCCTTTGCATCTTTACTTACTCACATGCGGTACGTATACACATATGCGATATTACTAATACTATATATAGATACAGTTGTTCTTGTTTGGACTCCCAGCCGTCGTGTCTATGAACAGAAACCTTGGATCTTCTTGGCAGCCGGCGCGGCATCGTCGACGGCGAGCCTCTTGCCACCGTCGCGCTCGGGGTTTAGACCGAAATGGATGTTTGGATAATGTGCCCACTGCCAAACAAAATGTATATGCGAAGTTGATGTTATTAGGGTAATTTGCCTGAGGAATGCATACATTTTAGTAGAATGCATGCATGCATGGATGCTACGACGTACGTTCTTTGCGGCAGTGCTGAAAGCTTCCCTGTGGCTAATGTCGGGGTTGTTTGCTTTGATCCTTCGTATCTCTTCCCTGATCATTAGATTAATTATATTTTAGCATATATCCAATCGTTCTTAAATAAGTAGCACACAACTATTCTTGCAGTTGTATTTTCAGCTAAATTGCTTAAGGAGGAGAAAAGCAGTAGTAGTTAGTCCTACAACATAAGAAAAGTAGAAATTAATATTAGAGAAACTCACTTGATGAATCTGTTGTACGCCGAAGGAACACGCTGCCTCTTCTCAGGAGCTGTTGAATCACATCACATCAATTGAAGCAATGATTAGTTCAAATATTGGAGGAAACCAAGTCAAACCTATTCCATTCCATCAACTCGTATGAACAATCCAGTAATGTAGCTATATTTTGGATGCATGCATGCAATTTATCTAATTAGGAGCATCTAAACATACGTAAACCAACTAGTAATTAAAAGCTCCCTCATACTTTGGCTCAAGTTTTGACCATAATTAAACTGCTTAATTAATAAATTTTATTTATCTCTTCCTAAAATTATACTCTTATTTCGAATAGGAATTCAAAGTTATAAATCATATTTGACTAGGTAAACTTATGGTCAGAGTTCAACCCAAATTATGAGAGGGACTTCTAATTAAACCCAGATGGATGAAGTAAAAACGAGAAGATTAATTGCGTGATGGCACTTACGACGTGCGTGCAGCGTTTGCTCCTGCAGCAGATCGTTTTGCGATGAGAACATCATCGTCGGCATCCGGAATTTGGACGACGATGAAGAAGAAGACGAAGCAAACTCCGGGCTATTGTAGGCGCTGCCGTGGTCACGAATGAAGCCGTTGCTGCCATTGGGCTTGCTCAGGCTGCTCTCCTACATGTGTCATTGAGAAAAAAAAACTAGCAAATTAATATCATATGTATGTGCATGCTGCAAATTAAGTAAGTAAATAAAGTGTACGAGCATGTGCATGTTGTGATGTATGATACTATAGTATAGTATCATCAAATTTAAGAAGACATGGATGTGACCTGTGCATGCACTACTGTGTAGCCTTTTTTCCTGCTACAGAAAAGTTATTAAGAGCCGGCGTGACATGTCACAATGTATGTTTGTCCTGTTTTGCTGATTAGTCGTCACAGCCGATGAGATATGTGCTAGCCTGAGTAGCAGCTAGCATCGATAGATGACAACATATGTACGCATGAATCATGATCACATTGTACTACTAGCTTGCGAGAATCTTGCTCGTCTCGTCTATGCATGTTCATCGACCTGCATGATCTATCATCATAATTTGAACAGCATGCATGCACCGCAATTAATTACCATGTGCATTTATCAGGATGCTATACATGCATTTATCATAATTTGAACAGCATGCATGTATCATCGGTCAACGAACCTGGACCTGTGCCGCAGGAGGGACCGGTGAGTGCATCTGCCCTCTCAGGCTCACCGAAAGTAGGTTTGTGCAGTGCCCGCACCGGACTGTCACGATGTTGAGCATGCTGTTCCCAGGGACACTCACCTGCGCACAAACCCCAATATCCCAAGAATTAACCAATGGCTAACCGACCATACGTTAGAATCCAGAGCACATGTTGATCCAAGCAAAAAGACAGGTGCATGGTGGGGGGAGGGAACCAAAGATCAAGGTAGATTGGAAAAGGCCTGCGATTAGATTTCAGACCAGGTGTGTGTGAAGCCCTTGTTGCTTTCTTTCCTCTCACTTTGTTTTGCACGTTTCTACTTTAACCAGCTGCATGCTGGTCCAATTTATGACTTTTATCAGAGCCTCGCCTGAGCTATGTATTGGATACCCATTTTCTTTCGCCTTTTGGGAGCACGACAATGGCTGCAGCATCTGGGATATTGAGAATCATGGCTGATCACTTTCGTGCCTTTTTCATCTCTTCCTTTTGGGCACTCGCTCCCGTAAGAAATAATTGATAAACAAGCCCATGCATGACCCCTACCAATCATTGTGTATGTAGGTATTTTGGCCCATGCACATACGCATACACGCTCACACCTATACATATACATATGCTACACAAGACGGATTAATTGCATGTTGTGCCAGATTAATTAGCTCTCTGCCACACACATGTGTGTGAGTGTTACTGTGTGTGTTTGTATGTTTGTGAGTGAGTGGTATGGTAAACAGTGCATGTGTGCCGTGGATGGACAATCTCATTGTCTGTCCCAGCTAAATTGTTTTTGGGGCATAAACTAGTACTAGTAGTAGTACAAAGGCAATAGAGATGTGTGGGTGTCCCCTACACTAAGGAAAAGATGCATCAGACAGTGACACTTCATGCAGAGGCTACTTCACACACACTCACATGCACGCACAAGATCCAGCATATATACTCCACAGACTCTCACAGATATGTATACAAGCTACAGTGGTGCCCTCCGATTTCATCACGGGTTTATCTCACAAGTATTGAACTAAAACCACGACGAGTAATTTGGAACGGAGGGAGTAGTAGTTTTGAAAATAGCTTGGTTTAATCATAATTAAGCTCGGCGGGTAAAGCTAGATTATGAAAAATTCTTGAATGTTTTTCCTGTGGTAAACCTACAGCATATGTAAGAAACGTAGCTAAACTCACCCACTACTACTTCATAAGATTGTCTGAAAAATAAATGAAGTGACAGGCGAGTTCATCTTTTCTTCATTAGCGTTTTTCTTGCCGATTAATGATAAGGTGGAAGATTGATTATATATATACTCAGGCTCAGTAGGGAAGATCCATAAGGATCTAACAAATGTTAGTGATCTATGCAAAGGAATCCTTGTTAATAACTTTCTGAACATATGGAGCCAAATTAAAACTTGACGCTCGAATTAGCAACATGATTATTTAGCAAGATTACCAACTGATTGTGTACTAGCTAGTTAGTGAATGATTAATTAGCCGTGATCATGTCATGAAATCACAGAAGTACCAGAAAACGCGTAGCCATTTAATTTGCCCATGTGAAGCTTAAATAAATGAACCGACCAAATGAAAAAAAAACGCAGCACATGCTCATTGACTATCCCTGGTGCTCGGATGCATGATCAAGCTAAAAGCTAAACATAACGACCTAGTAGTACTTCTCAACATATAATGGAAAACTATGATCAGTAATTAACATTGGCTGCAGTATTTTTCAACGAATTAAGCAAGCATGATGTGTAGGTTTGTCGCATGGTTTAAATTTAGTTGCCAATTGTTCATTTATATTCGCTTTGAGTTCATGGTTCTCATCAAAATATCTTTACACACGAGGACCAAAATAAACGAGTCCAAACTTTCTTTTACCCCTACCTGAATATCTTAACATTAAACTCGATGATAATTAAACATCACAAGCATGCATGAAGAAGAGGGAAACCTGACATGCAGTCAAATAAAATCAATATTAATTTCTTGCTCATGAAACATTATGAATTCCTAAGAAGAGGAAAGCTATGGTGATTGATAAGTAATAATTATTTCTGATGAACATCCTAAATTATGTGAAGACTAACTATTTCTACTGATCTTCTTATGATTTTCTTTTTTGTGAAGGCCTCATGTGATTCTTTTCCATGTATCAGAATATTAAAACAAAAACAAATTAGGCAGGAGAACTAGGAAGATGTGTTCTAATTAACTTCACGAGAAAGGATTCCAAACACAAAAAGGATCTTTATTATTCCATGCCAATACAAACTGAAATGATATATGTAAAAAAGCGTACAAACTATTCTGTGTTATATATAAACTAAATTATTCATGTGTAAATGGTCACTTAGCTTGAACGTGACACAGTGGCACCTATTAATTTCATAGACATATCTATATTGAGAATAAACAATCCAATAAGTTAAACATAGTACTTACGTATCTGCTTGAGATCAATGACCATGTTAGGATATATAAACGTGTTGGTATTCATGCATATAACTTATCAGGCCCAAAGAGAAGCCAGAAATAAAATAAGGAGAACCTTTCAGATAAAATTGTGGAAGAACAAGGGATCAATCAATAGACTTACTTACTTTAAACTTGCAACTCATGTATCAACAATAGTATCTTATAAAGATCGAGCATTTATAATGTTTAAGTAGCATTAACTTTGGCACATGCATGGTGTACAATACTAGTACTAGTATTTGATAACTTTGGCACACGCATGGTGTACAATACTACTAGTATTTGATATTATCTTTATGTTGAGACACTGTTCTCTGTTATTTCAAGTGTATTCAAATCCAGTGATTCACATGCTGAAACACAAGGAGAATGCATGAGGTTGTTATGCTCCATGCAAATATTATATATAGAAGAATGAGAATAATAAAAGTAAAATTGGAAAATAGTTCTATAAATTGTTGGATATATAAGTGCACAGACGGGCCTAAACAAATGTTCTTTTAGCTGAAACTGAAAGTCCAAGGCAAAATTGAGATCATAATTAAGGAAGGGGGAAAATGCTTCCTGTTTTCTTTTGATAGGATTGTTGTTCTTTTGGTTTTCTTTAGACAATTCTCCAACAAACTGGCAACAACACAAAAAGGAAGAACCCACAATATATATAATCAGGTAGAGAATCTAGAAGACGATTGGATTTTGCAAATAAAGAAACACTATATACAAAGACTTATAGCTCTACAACATTAGACAGGCCAAAAATTGGTCAACCGATCGATCCCGACGAATCTCTCTTTTCTTGGC